CGGCGGCGGCGGCGGCTGAGTCGAGCAGCTGCAGCACCTTGAGGCCGGCGTCCTCCGCGGCCGTTTCGAGTGCGGCCCGCTGCGCGTCGTCGAACCAAGCGGGCACGCTGACGACCGCGCCCTGGACCTTCTTGCCGAGGAAGTCTTCTGCGGATTGGACGAGCGACTTGAGGAAAATCGTGGCCACCTCGGAGACGGTCAGGATGCGTTCGGCGGGTATGGGCTCCGATCGGGGGGTGGCGGCGTGCGACGCAGCAGGCGTGTTCGTCGCGGTCGTGGTCAGCGGGGTCGGCGCTGCCTGGAGCACCTGGACCCTGTATGCGGGCACATCTGGCTGCTCCGGGTGTTGGATCACGGGTGCGGAGACGGAGAGTTTGTTCGATGGCAGCTCAGAGAACCTGACGGGGGGGATCGGCTCCCAAACTTGGACTGAATAAACGAACGGCTACACACCTTTTTCCAAGGAGGTTGCGGAACCCGGTGATCGTGTTTTGTGCGTTCTTCACGAGCTGGTGCTTTGCCTGGTTGCCGATGTACTGGCGCAGATGGGGTCAGTGCATCCGGGAGTCTCGAGGGGCGGTCAGACTCACCATCTCCTCGCCATGGAACGAAATGGCACAAGCGATCTGACGCTCTCCATCTTCGTTTGCTATGCAGTCAGCAGATCCTTCCTGAGCACAACTGTGAACACACATCGCATTTCAGCGTGCAGCGGTGGTAGATACCTTCGTCAGGACCGCGATTGAGGCATAAGAGTTGCCAAAGTTGATTCCGACGACCGTTGGGATTGACGAGATCTCTATTGGGGCGTCAGCAGTGCCATTTGGTGTGACCGCCATGGTGGACTTTGGAATAAAACAGAGTTTGAAGTGGCTGGACCAGCCTCGTACTTTTTTTTCGCAAGACGTTTTTGTCACGTGACATGTACCCATCGACAAAAACGCCTGCGGCATGAGTTCAGCGGCTATCCGAGTTCTACTTTGTCACGTGCCATGCACCCACCGACAAAAACGCCTGCGGCATGAGTTCAGCGGCTGTCCGAGTTCTACAGTACCTTCTCCAGGTCCATAGTCTCGAACATGAGCTGTAGCGCACAAAGTCCCTCTGGTGTAAGTATGTTGAGTGAATGTTCTCTGAGACGCTGACGACGGTCAGATCGCTGTATGAAAGAACCCTCTACAGCAATCTGACCGTCGTCGGCGTCTCAGAGAATATTCACTCAACATACTTACACCAGATGCAGTTCTTATACCCTCAGGGGTCGTCAATCATGCTGGCGGAATTCACAAATACGAGTACCGCGACCTACGTAAAAATTGCATCCCTTTGCAACGTTTGGTATCTTTCTGCTCGTGAGTGCTTGGCCATTGCGTTCAAGCGTTCGCTTAATCCGATCTGATTGGTGAATAAACATCGGACTATATTCCTGGTATTTTGACACACAAACGATGGCGTCCAAGGGAAATCATTCCTCTCGGTCTACTTGCCTGTGAGATTTATGGGGACTGATCTGCCGGTGGCTCTTCATTTATAGCATTCTCATAATTTTATAATTGGTGAGCATAATGTCCGCCCTACAGAGTGGCAGGCTCATTTTTCTCGTTGCTTTATCCTTTTGTCTGGTGTCTATCTAATTCAACTCCCGGGAAACGACGATACCTGCTCCGGCGTTTCGCTATTACGGGTACGTCCCGAGTAATTCAGGCGGCTTCTCTTTGCGGAGTGGGCTGGAAAGAAAAAAAGAGTGGATAAAGGAGACCTTTGCAGTACAATCGTTTGTGGACGTTTGGGAAGAACGCGAACTCGCCGCGATCACGTAATAAGTCCTTTGCTACCTCCAAGTGTTGAATGTTGCTGGCTATGAACAGACACCGCCTCTTTGGAGAGAGCATCATCCAGCAGTTTCTTGGAGGTCTGTTGCCTTGAAATCCTGTTGAAATCTTGAGGCAACCATCTATTGGGTTTAAAGCGCATCCACGCATCGATCTTTTGCCCAAGTTTCTGGCCGTGCCTTGGTCAGCTCTATGCACATGTCCATGCGCAGTGCCAATTCTCAAGTGTTGTGGCCACGCTCAAGATTGAATGCTGATCGGATTCGAAGAGAGGTTGGGCCATTCACACCCGTATCCACCAATGTCTCTGAGAATTTACACCAAGCCGTATTCGAGAAGACCGCGGCTGAACAAGTTACGCTCGCCGATGATTCGCTCGAACGTATTGTACACTCGTTGCTAATAAATGGGAGCCCTTTGGCATGGTATATCGGTCGGGGAGGTTTAGACTATATGCCTCTGCAGCCATGAAACGAAGAACCGTGTAGAACGCACCCAGCGGCACAAACCTTTTGTCGTGTCCCGATCGGTATCTGCGCCCTCGGACCAGCCCCTGACGTTGTCCGCGCTCAGATTAGAAAATGTTGAAGTCTGAGATGAGTTAGTACTAAGGTATTGCGTTCTTATTATTCGAACACATTCGTATCTGTTGGTACAGCGCAAACTTGGACCGCTCGCAATCATGACACTGTCATTCAAGCATATGATAAGGGAATATACAACCGGGGACCAACAATGATCTCCAGTAGATGATCTGGTCCCGCTTTTGATCTCCCGCCAGCGTATGCCGTGGATTAACCGGGACTGGGAATGAAAACAAGCAGGTCTCGATTCAATAGCTAGCCGCAATCCCAGCGATGGGCTCCGCGATCACGCCCACGAGATAAATGCGGCGGTGTTCAGGTCAAGATCCAGGTTGGAGATGATGAGCTCTTCTTTGCCCTCGTTGAACTCCCAGTGTGCACTCTGCTCCCCCTGGACCATTACCATCGACGGTCCGACGTCGGCTGTGCCAAGAATCGTCACGGAGTCGAGCTTTTGCGCAACATCGTACGACCCGTTGTTAGAGATGTGCAGAACACCGTCCGAGACCTCGAAAGTCAGAGTGGTGTTGGGCGTCGGCGGGATGGTCTTTCCGTCGTCAATATAGGCGGTACCGAACGCGTACCCGTCAGCGGACAGGGAGATAAGTAGATTGTATGGGCCAGCTTGGGTCTCTGCTATAGTGTACGCAGGTTGTGCATGCAGAAGAATGGCTGAGCCATCGCGGATGTGAACATTGATATGTCCGATTGGTGCATCGAGAGTCGTGTTGCCGCCCACACTTGCATTGACTACTTCGTGCGTGTACCAGTCGCGCCAGATGGTCTGGCCTCTCCCGGGGAATATGCCTGTCGCAAAGGTCAGCTGAGCATCTGAACACAGACATTAGACATACCTTCCACCGACGACACATTCGGCGTCAACACGGGAGTGACGAGAATATCACGCCCAATCAGGTACTGGCTGTCGATGGAGAACAATTCGGGCTCGTTCGGGAACTCATAGAATAGAGCGCGAATGACAGGTGTTCCGTGCGATGAGACATTGGCAAACAGCGTGTACTATACAGAGGTATTCAGTCAGAATAAAATAGAATATACAAATCCCTTACCCAGTACGGAAGCAACGAATATCTGATGGCAATTGCAGTGCGCGATGCGCTCGCTACACTGTCCCAGCGGTACGGCTCCTGCGGAATTGCACCTAATTGATTATGGTTCCTGTAGAAAGGCATGAACGCCGACAGCTGCATCCAACGGTTGCACAGTTCCTCGTCCGTGTTACCAGTAAATCCGCATGTGTCCGCACCGACCATCGGAATTTGGAAAACTTGGAATTGAAGCGCGCCTTGGATGTTATAGTGCATGTAATTCCATTTGCTGTAGTTGTCGCCAAGCCAGTGACCAGACCACCTTCCTGAGCTAGGGAAGGTCGACCGACTGATGAGGAACGGACGGGTGCCGAGGATTTCTTGCACCGCCATATGCGTAGCTTTCTCTTCCATAAGCCCCCACATATTGTGCACGTCAAGCTCAACATATCCACCCGCATGCGTGGCGTTTGTGGCAATGGTATGAACATTCAAGGGACCGAAACCTTCCAAGGATACGCACCACAAACATCGTTAGCGCAAGACAAGCGAAGTTTGGGTCAGCTCCAACCCACCATTGTGTATGGCGTACGGGGGATAATTCAGGTTGACGCCGGGTTGATCTCCAGCACCTATCCCACGCTTGTCTAAAGCAGAAACCGCGGAGCTGTCCACGCCATATGTCAATGTCCCGTTGATGGTCATGTTACCACTGGGTCCCCAGACCGTCGCGTTGTACCTGAAGCACGGTAAGTTCCTCTTACACCACGGTTTACACAACGAGAATATTGCACCCACCCTTCCGGATACGCCGTCACGAGGTCGCCCGGCTCCCCGGGAAGCAATATCGGGGGTGGTGTCGACAGGTCAGCTCCAGTCCCACTACCAACATGCGTCAGCACCATCTCCGACGAAAGCAATGCCGCCTCTCAGCTGACCATGAATAGTCGCAGAAAGAAGACACCTCGTTCATATCCAGCCAAATCCCCGAGAATTCGATCCCGCCGTGGGACCAATTTCTCAGCGCTTCCTCCCAATATCCCTGGGTGGAATTGGAGAACCAGTCTGGAAACACCTATAGGCACAGATGCGGCACAAGGAGTGAGCAACCCATCGAAAACAGTGAATTCGAGTCCGCCAGGCACTCACCGTGTAACCGGGCCAAACTTCGCCGACGTATTCCGACCCATCGGGGTTCTTCATCCAAACATCGCTGCGAGATAAAAGAATCATCATTACTATAGCACCTATCAAGCCTAAGGCACTCGACGTACAGCTCCACACCTCTTGTATATGGATCATACTATTCGCAGGATCAGGCGGGCTAGTAAGACAAGGTTCGCGCGAGACGCACGATATCGGTAGCATTGACTTGCTTAGCTACGGCAGCATCGACGATGGGAATATAGTGTTGATGATTTTCAGCCTAGAAACAGGCCAACAATTCAGTTCGCATCCGGGACCAGTATCAGAGCATCGCTGCCATACCAATTCTTTAATAAACTCCCGCATCTCATTCCCAGGGAACGAGACGGGATCAGATGTAAAGTCCCGCACAGCGTGATACAAGTCAATGTCGTTCCACATCACTGTTACACGAACATGTAAGCACCTGAGATAATGCGGACGTAGAAGTTATCCAACCTTCCAGTGGGATATTGGCCTCCCGCATTCTGATAACTTGGTCCCTGGTTACAGTGAGGTTCTCATATCCCCACCTACAAAGATGGAATCCGAATCCAAACACTGGCTGCCATGTTGGCAGGCCAATGAGCTCACCGTATTGCTCTATGACTTCATGTGAACTAGGTCCAGAGAAGAAGTAGAAATCGAGCGTTCCTCCAATGAGACGGTATTGTACGAGAGAAACTGGTGACGATGGTGGAGTGACCAAAAGTATGTCTGACCCGGATGCGCTAACCGAACCAAATCAGTTCAGACTTGTAATTTGCGCAGTAGAAGCGAACATACCTGAATAAGAAGACACCGTGCGATTGGGCCTTTTGTGTGGTCTCGTTATACCTATGTTCGACATAGATGGGGTGCGACCCATAGCTATCCAAAGAGTTAGTCAACAAGCGCACATCGAATGCGGCCACATATTTACGGACATGTTTTGGTTCAAGGGATCCGCATCATCCCGTGCCCACATCGTCTGGATCGTTCCTACCCCACCACCGGTGCCAATATCTCGCCGAAATCCACTGGTTGCCACGACTTCGCCTAAGCCATAGATGTTCGTGCCAAACGGAAGCGCCGACGTCAGTTGCAGATACTGATCTTCGAATACAAGTGGGAAACCATCGAGCGATACCGTACTCGCGCCCGCAGACACCGACGAAATCGGCGTGGACGGTAGGGAGCTCGCCCTCGTGTCGAATAAGGGCATGGCATCCGGATCAGAGCGGCGTGTGATCCAAAACGCGAAAGGGTTAGAATCATAGTTGAACACAAGGTCAGAGGTCTTCGTGAAATCTTCCGTCGGCGGCGATGACAGAGGCACAACAAAAGGCGGAATGGTGAATTGTAAGTTGGCCGTATCGAAGATGTTCACGTGCAGCCTATACTCAATCATCACAAGATGAGCGAATGCACCAACTAGAGTTGGTTCTGCTGACCTCTTGTCTGACTCATAGGTAACCTGGAGTGTGAGGTCGGCAATATCATGTCCGAAAGCATCACATGAAGGACCAGCGAGGGCCAGGTGTGCGGTGAGTCCGACTGCAGATTCTTCCAATGATGATAGAGTGTAGCCTAAGCAATCACGACACTCTCAGTACTTTTGTACCTATACAGGGATGCAAATTTTGACAGCTTACCTGGGCAAGAAGACACGTTGAGAGAAAACTCTGCACTCTCATCAAGTGAGCGTTTGTTGTGCTCATTGAAGAGAGGGTGCTCCGCTAAGACAGCAGCTGCAAGGGCAGCAATCGCCACACAGATAGCAACAACCATCGTGGCTACCGAGGTGAGGTTAGACTCTCGAGGCGGCTGGTCCGTTCTCCCAGCTTGAGGAGACTGGCGACGAGTTTTTGAAGCTGTAGGATGCACTCCCGACATCGCGCCAAGTCGATGTCAGCTGGTTGGGGAGATAAACGGGGCCGCATCCTGAATTCGCCACCAATGGTCTCATGACAGCATCGAAGCGAAGCGAGTATGTAATGCCGACCCTGAAGTGTCCGAGCGGTGCTCACAATTCACTCATACAAACAGGTATTGCCGAATTTTCGAACCAAGTTCGGTGTCTGCCCAGCGCTGACTCTCGTTCAACGAATGCACTCACCGTGAGCCTGAGGGGTACGCGGCCAAAGCACAAGTTCTTAGGGCTGTTATATCTTGAAGCTGAATATCCTTCATTCGAATAGCCGTATTATAAGTTCGTCTGGACTTGGGAGATAAAGGTGAGTCACTCGACAGATTCAAAAAGACACAGGATGTTTCAGTTGCTTCAAGTTCAGGCCAAGCCCGCGAAGTCCGGCCGTCGAACACGGGCCGAACATATGCCTGGCAGAACATATCGCATTTTCCCCAATTTTCTGGCATCATTTCGGCCGCCGAATGTTACAGATTGACAGTAATCTAATAGGCTCGTTTGCCGTGTTCTTGTATCTAAAACACGGCGTGCTTGAGCTTCAACCACACGGCAATACTCGATGTCCGCCAAACAAGACACGGCTCGCACGAGATTGCGAGTTCCCTTGCGTTCGGGGCTCGAATTCTGAGAGTGCTCGGTTGCCAAACATAGGTGATTTGCAGTCGCTGATTGGCTCCACGGATGTTGCCGCAATGTCCGAAAATGTATTTGAGCTCCGAACCCGGCGGAGGGGCGCTGTCGTTTTCTCCGAGTCCATGTTCGACGCCCGGCGATCTTGGGCCATTGCCCGCGGGATGAGTTGAAAGCGTCTCTAACTCTTATTAGCAGCGAGCATTCAAGCGCTCCCAGTGAAAAGTGGCATTAATTAAATTGAGAAACTGGGTCACTCAACAAGTTGCGTTGAAAACGCGTGAAGAAAGCTGAATTAGGTAATTCGTGCCAATTCGGTTTATCTCATTTTCTCTCATTGAGTGACACAGTTTCTCATTTTAATTCATGTCGATTCTCACTGGGATTCAAGACGAGACTCAGAACTGCTACTGATGATCAGTTAGTACTAAAACATATCTTCTGTCTTAGATGACAGTCTGTGGCGAGTACCCTACTAGGTTAGAATAGCCACTAGTCCTGCAGCTGCACCGTCTGTTCTGCGGTGCGTAGTACGTTTTATTCTGCATCAACGACTTGTCTTATGTTTGCATGGCTTGAAAGATTGTTCAAGCTTCGTCGGCATCTAGAAAAAGCCTAGTCATCTATTTTCGTTCCTCCACTTGCCAGTACGCTAATTCTCGAAGGGGCGCAGCAGCATTCGCATATGTAGCGCAAGTGGGCTACATGGCTGCGAGAACGTTGGGATTCCGCCTAATCCTCGTCATTGGAGCCTTGCCTCTGGGATCAAGCAAGATGCATGGCAATCACTTGAACGGCAACTAGGATATCGCTCCACTCATACCGCGAGAGTGACCATGTCCAGTAAGCTCACCACCCAGGTACTCACTCCGACTATGAAGAAGATGGAGGCCTCTCCGTGTAAGCTAGTTTACCACACTAGAGGTCCAAATTTGCCTTTGCTGGAAGAGCGCCGGGCGCTATAGGTTTGTCGTGTTTTGGTATCAGACTTCTCCACGCTACCCATGGTGGTCCAGAAACGCAGGTCATGGAATCGTCCTTCGACCCCTCGCTTGATGCCGAGAAGCCAGACCCTGGAGTCCGGATATCTCTTCTCCACATGTCTGTGCGAGAGTCTGGGGAATCCGGAGTATGTTTTAACAGGGTACAGTCCACATTGCTTGTAAACTTCCTTTCTTCATGACAATGGGATGCGCCGTCGCCACCGTGCCTGAGAGTTGATCGCGCCCGACATGTCGCCTGGTCACACATACGTTCCGGTGCGGCTCCGCAACGAAGCTCAGGTGCCTGCGGAGACAAGCCACCTCACTGCCGACCCTCCGCTTGGCGGCTGTCTTGCGCACGGGTTCTGCATCCCCACTATCCTGGCTCTCTGGCGTTCCGGAACACACTGCGCTCACCCGGACTCCCAGCACGCCGCCTCAGCACGGCTCCCGCAGCGCCAACGGCGGATGCAGAGTCTTCTCGGTTTACGTCCTGAAATGTACGCCTCAAGGCTGAAGCTGCACCACGAGTCCATCCTATCTGTATCATCTGACGGGCAGCAGGAGATGAGCAGCTTCCATAAGCTACGGGTCGCTTTAGTGTCCCCGCATTGCACGTTCTCTGCATGCAGCACTCCTCAGGGGCGAAGAATCATTTCATCGCCGCAACTAATGCCTCGTGGGAGAGGAGCTGAGCGAGCACGCTCGCCGTGACAATCCGGACGGTCGCATGTTGTAAGCTGCTTTTCATCAGATTCTGGCTCCGTACCTTCGATCGCCAGTACCTTCAGATGTTCTTCAGCTGCATGTCCGTGCCCTTCTTATGGCGAGAGATGATCTGGGCTATTTCCATCTCTCGTCCGCGCATTGACCTGGAATGCAAGCTCCGCATGACCTTGTGATCGTTCCACCGAGCTCTCCTGCGCTGCGCCCGGCGGCTAAGCGAATTGGCGGCTTCTCTTCGGTGCCCGCTGTCGTCATCAGCCATCGGAGGCCACGAGGATACTCGATAGCACCTAATCAAGGAGACTGAATACCAGGCACAATTGTATAAGATATTGTAGATCGCAATAGCATTTTGAGGTTCTCGCGTTTAGCCGGAATGAATTGGGAAGGTGGGAGAAGAGCTAGCTTATGGCACCGCCAGCTTCGCAGATAACGCCAAGCAGACCTGATCACTCCGGGGATTGGTGGTAGACACACAAAGCAAGTATTGAATTGAGATCGAGAGCGTAGATCGTAAACATAGTGGCGCGGGAGGTAGGGAGATCACCACATCGGGGAACCGCAGAGATCCCCACACCTGCGGGAGTTGAATGAACACAGGACTGTCTGAGTCAACTGTAGGTGCACTCACAGACTTGGATAAACGATTACGACTGGCCGCCGACGGACTGCATGCAAAAACATATGTGCCAAGTCACAACACAAACCCTCTCCCAGAACGGCCGCCCAACGCATAAGTTTACAGCCGGGGTTTGATCATATCCTTGACAGATGCTGGGTCTAGTACACACTGGGGATAAGGCAGCCCGACGGTGCGCAACGGCTCGCTTCCTCCATCGACAGCTATCACTTGACCAGTAATAAAGCTGGCAGCATCACTGAAGAGGAATACCGTGGTATTTGCAATGTCGTTTAAGTGCCCGAGACGGCCGAGGGGGATACGAGATGATATGCCACCATTCAGTTTGTCCTTGGTTTGGAGACGGTCAACACCCTCAGTTCCGCCTATAGGTCCAGGGGCAATGACATTGGACCGAACACCCTAGTTGGAAACAGTCAGCACAGGGTCCCATAATGGATAGTTCTTCGGACTCACGTGTGGGCCTTCCTCAACCGCAAGAACAGCGGAAGCTGACAACGCTCGGTCAGTTATATCTTGTTGAACGTCGCTTGACATACTTACTGGCGTCCACTGCCGCTTTGGCGGCAGAAACGTGCACCTGGAAAGGCGTGGCTGCAGAATGATGAAATTACACATCAAGCTTCAAGAGCTCTATCAACTGACCTTTGTAGTGCAGAGTGGCACTGACATGAATATAAGATCCTTTGGATGCCCGCACGTACGCAATGGTTGCCTTTATGGTATTGTACGTCCCAATCTGGACAAGAAGTCAGATACGCGTCCCTTTAGGACATCTTCCGCGTACGGTATCAATATCGACAACGGTCTTGAACGCATTCTCGGACAGCCCTGAGATGGGGGCAAGGAAGTTTCCAGCGGCACCTGTTCGCGCAAATTCAAGCAGCCAACAACGGGCACAAACAGAAGGGACTCGCCGCAAATGACGAAATCAATGCGACCGAACGCTTCCATCGTCTTCGCTACAGCACTCTTCAGCTGCTCGGGGTTCCTCACGTCACCCTGAGCGGCAATACATCGTTTCCCGGTGGCTTTGGCGAGTTCGCCTGCGCTCGCATTAAGGCGGTCGAGTCTGAGAAGGGTAAGTCGAGCATTTCTAATGGAATACGACAAGACTCACTTGCGTCCTACGATGCACGCGTCTGCTCCGTGACGCATCTTCGTGAAAGGTAAGTAAAACCAATGAATGCGTCGCACTCGCGCTGACCATTGTCTCTGTCATTGCCTTGCATATTCCAGAGCCTCCGCCTGTGCAAAACAGAACCTTCCCCTTGAAGAGATCATCCTTGAATATGGAGGTAGAGTGCGCGACAGGTGATACATAAGCCATATCTGAAAGTTCGTTCAGGAAGGGATTCAACAACTCATACGGCTGCCGCTACTAAAGCCAGAGCTGAGGCGCTGAAACACCGAGTGCCCGAAGGCAGCCCGAGCGCCCTACAGCCACAGTTCGGGTCTGTTGGTCACGTGTTCACGTGTTCACGGTTCGTCGCGATCAGTTTCGATCACGATAATGTGAAAGTTTCTCCCCACAAACTTGTCGGAAAAAGCTTTGAATTCAATTATTCCTCGGTATCTATCTGCAACGATTTCTGGCAGATCGGTATTTCCCTTGTCTCTTTTATGGGCCGTAGTACCTGAGGTCCGTGATGTAGCTAACAAAAACATGCCGTGTTACTGAATTCTTCATCTTGACGACAGACAGAAAATCTGGCCGTCAAGTTAGTGCGGCGCTGTACTTTAACGTAAACACGAGACATGCGCGGCGAACATATTTGGATGTCGGTATTGGGAACCCTGAACATGTGAGTGGCTGGCGTGTGGTGGCTCAAAGGTGAACAGATCGCATCGATGGTAGATAGAAAGCAAAGCCACACTGCGGGGTCTTACAATTTCAGCCATTCAGATGTGACGGATAGAGTCGCACCAAGTCTGCAGAGCTCCCAGTGTTGCTGAGCCTATTACCATCTCACTGTCACCCACACTCAAACGTCAAAGCGTTTTTCGCTCGACCTAAATCCGCCGTGGTCGCCACACAGCGACGGCCCTATAATTATTGTCGTTCGTCGCTGGGCTTGTCTTGCCACGCATGCCATCCCGCAGGCAACGCCCGCATGGAGCGCACGCCCACCCCGTGGCTGGCCGCTGTGACGAGCTCGTTCCGCCTTGATACGGTCTCGCTTCTGAGAGATCGAAGCTGGTGGCGGATTACGCAGTCGGAAAGCTCCAGGTCGGCAGAAACGGTGATCGTCCGGGATTTGACACTGCCAGGGCTCTCTTGCGTGGCTTCTGGGCATGCGAACGACCCGGAGCCTTGGATCCAATTCGTTGTAAACAGGCCTCTGCACGATCTTCGGTCTGGCGCGCGGTGGGCGGTCGAGCACTCTGGGTGGCATCGACACCAGGGCCTCGATGCCACGTCCCATGCCACCCGAGTCTCTCTTTCGGCTCCTTGCTCCACGCAGTGCCCATTTCAGCGAAACCTCCATTAACAGCAGCCGCCATATGACTTCTGGCTTTGGGTCTGCAGCGCCGAACAAACACGTTAGCGACCGAGCAAATGTCATGCGACCCTACCAGTAGACGCTCGACTAAAAGCGGACCTTGCCCTTATCCACGCAAGGCTCGTGGCACTGGCAGCTCGACTTGACGAGATCCCGCCCTTGCACCGCCCTTCGTCAGTGGTCGCACCTGATGGGGATAACTCAGGCAGTTCCGCATTGTACAAATTAAGGAGGTAATCAGAATGCGAGCGTAGATCTTGCGAGTAGGTACACTAGTGACATCGACCAATAAACCATTCCTCCTGTCGCTTTGCCCAGGTTTACAAGTGTTTCGAATAGCTGAGGAAAGCATGCAAAGTAAGCGATGTCCGATGGCGAGAGCGGAGAGCGGAGAGCGATATATCGGGCAGCGCTACACTCCAGGTGCGCCGGGGAGACGACATTATGATCGTATACTGTAGAGCATCCTACGGTCTGCCGAGTCTACTCCTTTCCCAATAGTGCATTTGTGCAGCGGAGTTCGGTCCTGAACTTGAGCTGGACGGTGACGTGCCCGAAGGAGAGGCAGAATGCATAGAAGGGTTCGAAAGTGGGAACGGGGAAGGGTCGGGCGGCTGAGTCCCAGCAGTGCTGCGATACTGCGCCTGCCACTGAGTCAGGTGTTCAGCCGGGGAGACATACTGCGCGGTGGTCGAGGGCAAGGGTAAAACATGTGAGTGTGGAAAGCTGCGCTGCTCGTATCCATCGCCTTGCCGAGGCAGGGAGGACAGGTTGCGAGTCACCTGCGTCGTAGAACTGTACTCCTGCGAGCCGCCGGAGGGAGAACCATGGGGTGGGAGCACCTCTGCGCTACGCGGAGTCGGTGACTCATTCGGTACGAACGGGGACGTGAGTGTAGGAAAAGACGCGTTAGCGTATTGGTGCGCCGACGAAGCGGAGCTGTTAGATGGAACTGGGGACGTCGCGCTCGGCCACGAACGATGGGTCAGCTGCGGGGAGTACGTCTCCGGTTTGGTAACCGCCGCAGTGTGCTTGTCGCCTAGCCTCTGTCCTGCAATGTTAGTGTTGAGCGCAGGTAGAATAGGCCAAGTCGCCCGTGCATCCATTCGACTACCATCTCTGTTGATCCCCCACTGCAAGTGAGAGGGGAAAGACGATGGATATCCTTGACTTGTTACACCTCCCCCAATACCAGACGGCAAACTGTGCTGCGTTAGGACAGCCGTGTTCAGTGCGGAGTCGGAAGAAAGACGCAAATGTGCACCGAAAGGTGTAGAATCGAATGCAGGGTCCGAGGATGACGACAAATTCCTGAGACGGGTCGAAGATGGCTCAAACCTGTTAGACGAGAGGCCTAATGACGACTCGGAGAGCGCAGATGATGATAAGAAGTTGCTTTGGCTGCTATATGGGGAGGAGCCATTGTACGATGCAGATGAATCTGCGCCGTGGGTGGGATGCTGGTATCCGTGTGATGTAGAATGGGTAGCAAAATCGTCGTGCTCAACAGGAGAGACATCCTCGAAGGTGTCCTCCCTATCCCCAGTGAGCGGCCCGGGCGGTGAATCGCGCTCCGACTCCGTCTTGCGCTTCTTACGCGAATTGTTGGGCCGTCTCCTGTATACATAGTCGGGGTATTTGAAGTTGAAATTATCCTTCAGCTTTTTGGCCTGGTCGAGATAAAACTTTTTCTCAGACTAGTTGACGAGATCAGAATACGGGGGAGGACCAGCGCATGAGACGACGCACCATAACCATACTATTCCATTCCTTGCTCAGGATCTTACTCACATCTCCCGTCCGCATCATTTGGTTTGCAGCCGAGATCTCTGGCCGCCGCTTGCGCGCAAAGATCATGAAAGCATTCATCGGTCGCTTTGGAGTCCCATCAGCATTCAGACTTTGGGAAGTTAATGCAACGTGTGGATCCTCTGGGTCTGGGCATATGTCTCCGGAACGTAGGCTCGAGATCTCGAGGGTGCTCACCTGCCGAGTCGAAGTCGTTCTTCAGACCGTGCAGATAGTGATTGTAGCCAGAACTTGTCTCTGAGCCGGATACAGATCCTTCGCGGTCGTGCGCTCCACACTCGTCTCGTTCCTCATAGCTAAGGCTGACGTCTCCCTGTGTGCCGTAGTACGATCCCTGATTGTATCCACTCATCAATGCCATAGACCGTAAGTGAAAGCTTGTAGACGTCTAGCGCAAGAGGCCCTATCGTAGATGATGATGTCGCGAAGGGGTAGCCAAGGAGTAGGAACAGAGGAGAAGCGTTTTGTCTAAGGCGTCCGAGTAAACTCCACCTAAAGCCGATTGACTGTGAGGGCGGGCTGCGTCGGGAGAGATCTACCGTAGGGTCGGAGCAAAGTCAATATTGAATAGTGGGTCCGAGCAGGGGAGAAATATTGATTGTCGAGGGGCCTCTTGTATACATGCTGACGAACCTCGAATGGGTGATGTTCTGTCAGAGACCGCCGGTGCAAGCAGGCACGCCGCTCCAATTACGGTTGTGGACGCAGATGGATTGTCCAAAATTGAATAATATTTCGCGAAAAGGCCCCGGATCTGCCCTGGAGGTTTGCCTTTTTAGATTCTGTCTAGGCTGCGCATCCGGTTAGTCATGATGCCAGCGTTTGTTCTCCGGCCAGCAGCGCTCGAGAAGGGAGGTGTCTCCTGACACGCTAGCATCAACTTGGCAGCGCAGATGTGGTCGCACTCACGACATTGCAGGACAGAGCCATCCGTTATGGTTTGCGCACCGGAGCTGGCATGTGCGAACATCCCCTCGCCGGCTCGCTTGGCAATGACTGCCACGCGCGTATGTGCCCCGGAGGCAGGAAGCCAGGCGAGCCGAGTCGCCGCAGCCGTATCAGACACAGAAATCGAACTGCCGGGGTCACTGAGCAGCTTCGGGATCGCGCCGCCATCCCTCAGATCATGGAGCTCACACACGCCCGCGGCGGAAAACACTCAGCATTCGCGGAATCTGACCGGAACACTGCCATCTCCGCTTTAGGCAAATCAAGAACAACGCCGCGCTGGCAACATGCCTCGCCACCCGTCGGCGTCCCCTTAGTCCATACGCAGCGAACCTGTGTCTTGTGTCCTCCGTCTTGCACCCGACTCCCAACGCAGGGCGAGTAGACCGCCGCATCCGGTCGGTATCTTCCGTCTTGTGAACGGTCATCACGTTCCTAGGGTTCTGTGGCATGGGGCCGAATTCACCCCAGCACGGCAGCAGTACGCGCTTCATGACAATCAAGCACCAGTAACGAGGTATCGCATCCTATTCGCCCCTACGCTCCCAGCCGATGAAGCCATGGCTGTCCCTAGATTGTCGTAGCTGCAATCTCCAACTTTCGAAGGCTCACGCACGCTCTCTCATAAACGCCGAACTGGCATCGTCAAATAGGGAGACGAATATGTACCCGTCTGGCGACCTTCATCCCGGTAACAAGCAGTGAGATAGACTATCGTTGAGGACGGCGTCAATACCCTGACAGAAGCATCACATGCTTGCGGAAGAAAACTTACGCGATTAGGTGCGAGAGTCCAGCCTCCCCATTGGTGTGACAGCGCTTGGTTACATCGATTCTCCCTCCGCATGGAGAGAGGGTCTTGCATCCCAGTTCCTGCGCACAGAGGACCCGCGCGCCCACGACTGAGTCACGGTGAATGGTTGCCTACCACACAGGTTCTCCCGACGCTGTCATACCTGGCGTGCGCAGTTACGCAGGCATACCAACGGAGAGCACTACTCGGCTGCCAGTGTGAACAGCATCGACGGTCGAAGTCACTTGATCTTGATAATGCCATCATATCCGCGGTTCTAGCGCCTCTCCATGATCAGAGCGCGCCGCGGTAGTACCAATACCGGCATGGCATTTGGTAGCCAATCTGCGCACAATTCCTGTGGGGTCGGGCCAGCCCCCTGGGGACCTCGATGACGAACTGTGTCGCCGTGCTCCCCAGAGTCCCATTCCTTCCTTCACAGTATGCCCGCAGTGCCGGATCCAAGAGGGTATCGATATCAGATTACTGCCGATATGGCGACAGCGAGGAAGCGCGCCAACAACGCCATCACAGGGCTGGGGGCAGGCAAGTGCCACAGGCGGAAGCTGGCGTGCCGGGGGAGCCTTGTCAACCAAGACCGCAGACCTTGAACAGCAAAAACCTTCCGCACCTGCAACTCGGCAATCTCTTGGAATCGAGTGATCCCGTTTTTGTGCTCGCGGATCGTATATTCGATCGAGGAAACAGCGTGAGCCCGACCGATGCCCTCTGGCGCAAGGCTTGGGTGTTCGCTAAGCAAGCACCGTGGATAGCCTAAGCAAGCGACGTCGAACGGTACATGTGATGTGGCTGACCTTGAACCATGATCATCAGGTCCACCTGGGGATGTCGACGAGTTACTCCGGTGCGAAGAACCAGCAGACAGCGCCCGATACAGTGTCATGAGGTCCCCCCTCACTTACCCTCCGGGGCGATAACCACGATGCTCGCGGACGTCCTCGGAGCGTCTTGTGCTTGCTGCGACCTGACGTCATCTCTCGCTTTCTCAGTGTACTGACTCAGGGCTCTGGCAGCCAGCACCACATCCACACCGCACTTTTGGGCTGGAGTCTGCAGCAAGTGTTAGTCTCACTTGTGGATATGTGACGAGTTTGACGATCGTTTCGTACTTGCATGGAAGACGCCACCAGCAGTGCGACATGACATCGGCATGTGTGAAGAGACAGGTTGTGCAGATGGGTTTAAAAAACACGAGTCAATCAGTTCGATAAACTCCAGACGCCAGAATTGGCCAGGTCTCGTCATATAGGAGTAAAGGTCGTATGCGGCACGAAGGTGATGCCTCCTATGATGTGCATTAGCTTGAAAATAATCACAGCCCTAAACATGGTACCAGAAAGGAGGCATTGATCGCACCTCAGTGGTTTCGGTGCCCAATCGCGTCAGTCTAAAACAAATTTACAATCACGCATTTGGGCAGGCCATTCGGCGTGCAAAAATCGTTTGGGAAATGCTTCGCTAGAGAGCGCCTCATGAGCTTCTACGGAACACTGTCGTGAAACGAGGGCTCGAAAAACGCTCGTCCAAGATTAAACCTAATGCCGCGTGTCCCCTAGTACGACCTCGAGGTGAAGCACAAGACCATATCGTGGATGTCGAGGGTGCGAAATAGATGATGGATTCCACTTCAACGTAATTAGGGGATCGGAAGTAGAGAGCTCTGGGGCAAGACCTACGAGGCGTTCACAAGCTGACCGCAGAGACGCCGCTCGCGAAGATACACAAAACAGAATGGTGCATGGAAGGCCGTGGCGACACGAGCTCTAATCACCCTGAGACTTCCAAGTCGCGTTCGTGTGCCGCATGCCGATAGCCGAAGACGTCGGCGACATGAGGAACTTCTGTCGAAGAAGGTCAGCGCAGGAGCCCAGACGGCCCGCTCGTTTTCGTACGGCGTTAATGCGCAAAACGAGACTTACGTTGAGACTGGGCCTTGGAGCTTGGAGGGGGCGGTTCGACACCCTTTCCTTGTCCGCTCAGGAGCAGCAAAGTGAAGCATACGAGAGGGAAATTTAGGGACCGCTAGGGAATGCACAAACTGCGAATGCGGGTAAATATTGCACAGGCGCTGATTGGCTGTTCTCGCAAGACCCAGCGGGTTTTAGAAGAAAAAAATCGGTTTAGGGATTGAACATACAGTGGGGGCTCTGCCCAGCGGGACAATCCTGCAGAGCGTCTCGTCTACATTTCAGATATTCTGGTAAGTTGAGTTTCAACTTGACATTATCCCCGTGTAGCACCGGTAAAGAAAACACCTACCAAACATCTGAGTAAACCATCCGTTCGAGGCTTTCGAGCGGGAGAGGTCGTTTGCGTCAAGTTTTCATTCAAGTTCGTTTGTTCCGCCACCCGCTGCGGCAGGCGCTAGACCGTGACGGTGCGCTACGTGTCACACTGCGCCACCGACCGAGCCGAGTAACAAAAGTTGTCAGCCCGGACTCGAGCTCAGTTATTGGACCAACGCCTCCATCTTGTTCAAAGCGGCGACCGTAGACGAATCCATATAACATTAGAGATAAACAGCCAGCATTCCCGCACGACGATGAAGGACTTGATTGTGGACGCCAGTATGTTTGCCTGGGTCCGCATCGTCGAACTTCACACTAATTCCTCGGCTATCTCAGATTTTCCTCGCTCCCTGGACGAACGCGTGTACCATCTCGGTATACGTCCAGGGGAGGTCGCTAACCGCATTGTAAGTCCGCCGTGAATTTATACTCGCCCTCGTTACTCACTGACACGCGCAACAGATTACTGTCGGCTCGCCCTCGCGGGCCCAGTCCATAGCGGCATGCCTGGACGTCTCGCCTGTGCCGTTCACACTCAGCTCCGAACGTGGCTTCCTGACAATCACCGGGCGGTACCACGGCGTCCCAGTGTCGATCGTCAGCATAGGCATGGGCCATCCCAACGCTGATTTCTTTGTGCGAGAAGTCAGAGAATGCCTCGACGGTGATATGGTTGTGGTCAGGTTTATTAATTACCCCATCATTTTATCGGCGCATAATTACTGACAGCCGGTAGGCTGGGCTCCTGCGGGGCGTTAATTGATGTCCCGGTGGGCTCGGTGGTCGTCCCAAAGTCGAGCATAGCCATCACACGGAACTATGACTACGATTTTGCCCGAGGCAGCGCGGGCGAACCGCCGTATAGAATCAGTAAACCGGTGAGCTGAGTCTGGCGTGCGCCCATTTCCCCTCTCCAACATGTGGACATAGGTCGATGCGGACAGCGACCTGCACACCGCTGTGCGTTCCCTGCACATTCTCCCGCCGTCGTGCGCTCACTGACGAGCGGAGCCTAGCTGCAACGCGCCCTGCGCAGGACGCGGCCCGGTGGCCTGGAGGTCCACGTCGTGGACGATATCATGAACGCGTCCGCCGACAGGTCTGTGAGCGAGCGTCGCCAGGTCGACTCCTCTAACACCATCCCCCCAGCTTCTACTCTTCGCAAGGAAGGCAGACGTCCTTCCCCGACCACAACGAGAGCCTCCTGGAGCAGGTCAAAGGGACGCACCCGGACCTCGGCTCCCTCGAGGTGCGCGGCGCGGCGTTCTCCCCAGCCGGCGACAGCTAACGCCCCCGCTAGATGGAGACGTTCCACATACTCCACCTCGCCGCCAACTGGCCCGGACCGCACGGGCAGCAGACGGTCTCGCCGCCCATCACCACGCTGCCCGTCTCGCCCACGATGTCGTCGTCCCTCCCTTCACCGTC